CCCCTCCTCCACCCACTCCCCACCCACCCCGACTTCTCCTACCCCCAGCTCCCACTGTCCTTCCCCTGGAGCCTCAGCTCTAGCTACAGTAACCTGCAGGCCTCAGAGTTCCCAGGCATGCTCCTGCCTCAGACACCTGCCCTTTCCTCTGACTGGAACTTTCTATCTTTAGCTATCCCACAGGTCCTTCAGATCTTAATTCCAATGATAGCTTCTCAGTAAGGCCTTTCCTGGCTACCCGACCTCAAGCTGCCACCACCCCCAACCCCACAAATGCTCTCTCCCTAACTCATGTTCTCCCTAATGTGCACATCACAAAACACACTATTTCACTTCTTCTTTCTTTTATCTCTTGGCTCCCCACCAGAAGGGAAGTCCAGGAGAGGACGCATCCTCTCCTGCTGGTTCAAGGAGATATCCTCATGCTTAGAATACAGGAGGCGTTCGAGAGATATTTTCAAGTGTATTTGAGGCTCAATTTATACCATGCCTCCAAACAAGAAGTCCAAACTGATAGCAAATAATGCTACTGGGTTACCCTAGGATAGAAATCTAAGGTTTCTGGCCCTATTTTTCTCTTAGCAATATTCTTTCAAAATGCTTATCACGGACACTAAAATTCTGAGTAATCTCAGAATAAATACCATTAAATCAACCAGCCAAATACACGAACCACCTCAAGAAGCTTTGCATTCGTTCCCCATCCTGCTTACACACACACCCCATAAAAGAGAAATGAGTCTGTTTCCCATCTGGGCTTTCAGACAAATCAATCACCTGTGTGTTCAACAGGTGTATTTATTGACCAATTTCAGAATAAGCATTTTAGGAATGAGGCAGGTGGGGAAAGACAGTGTTTGCCCCACAGAAAGGTTGGCTTATTCTCTTCCTGAATAAGCCAGCAGGCCCTTCTCTAATGAAAAATAGAACCCACTGTCACTAACACTACACCAGATAAGGCAGCTGATTGGGGGCTGTTTCAATACACTACCTGCACAGTCCTAAAAATGCACCTCCAAACAGAAACAGCCGCACCTAGCCACACAAGAGAAGCCCCTGAGGAGCAACTGCAAGCACCTTCCTGACACAGGTGAACCCCAATATTTTAGGGTTGTCAGAGCACTTGAAAATCACTTAATCTTGCCTTCCCTTTCCCTTTAATTTTAAAGATGAAGAAGCTAAGACAAGGAGAAGGTACTGTGGGCAGATGGCCAATCAGGCCATACAACCCCTAAGTGGCTAAGCCAGACCCAGGACCCAAACTCAGATCTTCCACAATGCGGGACCAACCACCTACCGACAATAGTGAGTTCAACTTCAAATGGTCAGTCTATATGAAAAACGTGTACTCATACCCTGCAGAGATGTGGGTATATTTTCTAGAACATGCCATTTTCCATACTCTAGGGGAAATGAGATATGTTGGGAAAGTCATTCTGTCTGTACCAGGTACTGAGGCCTTATCTAGTCACATGTATTTCATAGCCTGGGAATCGAAAAAGTGACTTTCATGAGACTTCACAGGTACCACACCAAAGCTTTCTTCCAATCCGTACACTTCTCCAAATGGTCTACATTAGGTTTCTGTTCTAACAGAAGTCACTGAATGCTATCTACAGCAGAGATGGCCCAAACAGGCTCGGCAAATGCGCCAACAGAAATGTTTACCATTCCTAATTTGCTGTTACACAACATTTATTTGCTCTCACCGTGTGCCAAGGATCTGAAAACATGTTGTTGATTAATAAACAGTAATTAAGTCTCACTACCTAATTCAGAGCTCTGGTTAGGTTCTGGGATTCCCTTTTAAAGAAGGCCAAAGTGAAGGCCATGAGTTGAAAGGTTTTTTCCAAAGGCCTGACTCAGAGATGCATCAGCCGGCTCAGGCCCAGGCCACAAAGCCTGTTCCTTTCCCCTCTTTGCTTCCTCAAGGTCTTTTCCACCCTCCTGGGCCAATCCTCACTTCCATTTCGGCCCCACTCTCCAGCAGCATCCATCTAACCACACTGACCAAATGGCTTGACCCTTAGCTTCCAACAGTAAATGTTCTGCTCTGCAAGGAAAGATACCTGGATGCAACAGCCAAATATCAGATTACACAGGCTGGCAAGGTGAGCGCTCCTCGGGTTTTACAGTGCTTTATTTCAAAAGCGGTTTAACACTGTAAGCTGACAGCCTTGCTTCTTGGGGCTTTCCTGCCTTAGGATCTTACAGACATATGGTGAAGGTGTGACAAACAATGTGATTGGAACTGCAGAGGTCTTTGGGAAATGGACTCCAATTACAATTGTTGATGCCTTTGACTCATGACAGACTTCATTACAAACAGGATAAAAGACCAAACTCAAAACTCACTCAATGGGCTGGGGTTGTAGCTCAGTGGTAGAGTGCTTACCTAGCACAGGTGAGGCACTGGGTTCGATCCTCAGCTCCACATATAAATAAATAAAATAAAAATATTGTGTCCACTAGAAAAAAAAAACACTCCAAAGGCATAGGAAGTTACCTTCATATTAAGACTCAGGCCCAGGTCCCTAGTCTTGACCCAGGGTGAAATGGACATACTGAACTTGGGATCACTTCCAACAAATCCAAGGAAACAAAATGATGTTGATAATCTAAAAGCTTTGAAATTCTTACATATTTAGATAACAGGTTATCCCTTATGTTTTACTTGCATTAATATTATAGTTAGCTTTTCAAACACTAGAGTTAAGTCATTTTTTTTTCTATGCTGGGGATCAACCCAGGACTTCATGCATGGGCTCTACCACTCACCCACATCCCCAGCCCAAGTCTAATTATTATTAAACATCTGCTAAGTGGCTCAACCCCATATGGATAATCAGGAGTTGCTCTGCCTAGCCTTGAATATCAGTCCCACCACTTAATAGCTAGCTCATATTTGCCAGGTCACTTAATCTCTCTGATGTCTCAGTTTTCTCAAACACAAATCAGGGATAATAGTAAATACCTACATTATAAGGTCACCATGAGATTTAAATGAGTTAATACACACAAGGCATTTAGAATAAAAGGTATCCTGTCGCCCATGGTTACCATTACTATTATGTCTTTGAGTAAAAAACATCTTGAACATTTTATTTCATTCTTCTAGGACCCCTGCCAGCACTACAGTGGGAAGTTTCTTTGCCAAGAATTATTTCCAAGGCAGAAGGTGACACTTTGGGGGCCTAGAAGAAATCCATACCCAAAACTTACCAGAATGGGGCCAGAGTCCAGGAAGCTGTTTGGCCGGAGCTAAGTCCAGCACCAGAAGGTAACACCCGCAGTCATCCTCAAACAGCAGGCTACAGCAGGAGCCACTCAAGGGAGCCACAGCTCACTGAGCTTCAGCAGCCCGGCCACTGATCTGCCTGCCAGGAGACTGCAGGCAAAGGGGCCCAGGTGGGTAAAAGCCATTAAAGAGACACATTCACACATGATAGGACTCCACTCTCTCCAGTCCCCTCATCTTGATGTCACATAGTGAGTCTCTGGATGGCAAGCAAAAAGCACAATTCTAATTTCACAGTGACTAGAGTTTCCCAGAGTCACAACCCCAAATGTGAATAAACCTTAATTAACCCCTTACCTTGGAAACCCCTCTTTATTAAAAACCTAAGCACTTTCGGATTTCATTTAGACAAAGACGGCAAGTCAGTGCCCACAGGTGCCCTCCCAAAATACAGCAGCCACAGCACCTAGACTCTATTCCAGTCCTTGGCACACTGGCTTCCCCAGGAATCTGAAACCTGGTTGGGAATGCCGCCTTCACAACTTCTCTCTGGGGGATCCACTGCAGATGTGGGGGTGGGGTGAGGAATATGACTAACAACTGCAGTGGACCCTGAGCTCATGGCAGAAGGTAATGTGGGTATGAAAATAGGGTCTGGAAAGGCAAGCAAAACACAGAAACAGTAAGGGGGGGGAGGGGTTGAGGGGAGGGGGGGGAAAGGAAGAACAGAAAAGAAGAGTACCACCCGGACACTGATTTATCCATGAAACACCTCTTTCCTGATTAAATCAACACTTCCCTGACCCCCTACACAATGTTCATTTCTTACAGCACGTGTGTGAATTTATATGCACTGACAGACACGGATGACAGCAGAAACGGAGCACATGGGGGTTGGGGGGGACAACTTGAACTTCAGGCTCATTCAGCAGTGCCTGATTCTCTTTCACTATCAGCCCCTCTACGTAGAATCTGAAGCGCTCCAAAACAAAACAAAAACCAACTCATGGGCAGGAAAGGAACCGTGGCTGAACGGAGCAGCAGCACATGCTTGGAGCACTGATAACCATCGACTTCTGATTATTTCTGCTTTCTTGAGATGCAGCTACCAGCATCGAACTAAATGTAGTGCAGGAGAGAATCGCCAGGTACAGAGACACTCGCAGACCCTCCCATGGGGACACGCACCCTAGCGCGAGCGGCTGAGCCCGTGTGAAATGTACAATCACTCAGGTGAGGCTCTGCCCACATGTGACCCTGAACACTGCGAAATTCTTCCATAATCGCGAGGCCATCCAAAGTCTTGCCTACACCTAGTAAGTGCAGATGTAATTTCATGTGAATACATAATGTAAGGACAGAAATGGGAATTTTCTCGTGGCCACGACTCTCTCCATACACATGGTGAGTAAATGCACACAGCCAGTAAACAGCGATATCCACCATGCTCAGCCCACAGTCACGCGTGGGGAGAAAGCGGTGGCGAGGGCGGCGGTGGCAGAGGAAGTGGAAAGTCGCCCGCTCGCGTGGGCTGTTCTCCGAGAGCCCAGAGCTCCCCCTCCCCCGCACAGGAGCTGTGCCACCTCTGGGGCGCAGACCCACGACGCGGAGGTCGCGCTGGGGGCTCCGCAAAGAACCGGACAATGAGGATGCCCTGACAAGCCAGGATCCTGCCGCGGTGGCGGTGGTGATGGCAGCCGGAGCTGCTTAGGCAGCCGACACCGCGGCCACCTCCACCCTCTTCTCCCCAGCGTCCACTTACGTCCCGAGGGTCTCCTTGAACTCGAAGATCTTCTTAATATCTTCGGCTTGCTTTTTCCAGGATGAGCTGCTCTCGCCGTTCTCCCGGGCCATGGCAGACGAGCGCGGCGCGGCGCGGTGGGGCGGCCGGGGGCGCGCTGGGGAGGGGGCGCCGGGGGCGCGGCGCGGGCGCAGGGGCGCGCGGGGATGCCGGGCGCTAGGCGGGAGGCTCGGGGCCGCGGCAGAGCTTCCTCTTCTGCAGTTTCCTCTTTCGCTCTCGCCGCCGCCGCTGTCGCGGTCCCTCCCTGGCTCTTATTTCTGCTCCTTTCGGTCAGAGACTTCCTGCCGCCGCTGCTCGCCTGCTCCTTTGCCGCCGCCTGCCAGCCTCACTTTCTGCTACTTTCTTGCCTCCCTCCTGCTCCCTCCCCCCCCCCCCCCCCGCCCCCCCCCCCACCCCGCCTCCTCCCGCGGGCTCCCCGCCCTCCCCGCGCGCCCCGGCCGCCTCCCCGCCTCCCGCGCTACCGCCTTCGGGGATGTCCCGCTCCCCTCCCGGGGAGCGCCGTGCAGTGGGCGTGGGGGCGCCGCACTTGGCAGCTAGGCCACACTCCCCCGCGGTCAAGCGCCCTGGAGCTGAGCAAGGGCAGGTGCGGGGACCCTAGCAGGTGCAGGGCGCTGGGGCGCTCGCGAGAGAGCCCTACTCCTGGAGGAGCTTTATTGTGGAGTCAAGACTGGGGGCACCCGGGCTTTCCCTCCTCCAGCGGGAGGGGGCGCCTTTGCGTGGCGCTCGGAAGCGCCGGGAGAGATGGGGGTGCGCAGCGGCCGGATACCGGGCGCCCAGGGCGGGGCGCCTTTTCTACGCTCCCGGGACCAGCGGCCGGAGCCGGCCAGGCCCGCTGACAGGCGGGTGGGCGGGGGCCGGTTGTTATGGCGACGGGCGGCGGCGGTGGGGATGGAGGCGTTGATGGGCGTGGACTCCGGCCCCGCGGCGCCGGCCAGCGCGGGCTCTCCCCGAGCTTGTCACTCCCCTCCCGACTTGCAGGCTAGAGCTAATTCGCATTGCACCAAATTCAGCCTCACGTCAATTTCGGTACCGCGGAGGAGAAAGCCTGGGAGTCTCGGGAACGGGCACGCGCGGGACGCGCCTGCCACTGCCTCGCAATCCCTTTGGAAGCAAAACTCCTGGGTTTATTTGGCGGCCGTGCCGCGGGTAGATGCGGGACAGCGCGGACTGCCCTGGCTCGGGCCTGGAGCAGCGAGCCTAGCTCACGGTTGTACTCTACTGGTTTCTCCCACTCGCCTCACGACACTCTGCGGACTCAGCACGAAGTGAATGTCTGCCCCACACCCTCCATGAAGGAGGTCTGCCCCTACTTATCACCCCCACCGCGACCCCCGCAGCGGGCTTACTGGGGAGACCAGGTGGCGGGCACGTACCTCGAAACATCCTTTCCTTCAAGTTGGAGAAGGTAAACCCAAAGAATTGCCTCCTTCCTCCCATCTCCCAGGTGAACTTTGGCCTGCCCACCCACTCCCGCTGTCTACCTGTCAGAGGGCAACCCACGTGCTGGTTCCCTAGATCCCTAGCCCCCAATCAGCAGGAACTACCTTTTGATGGGAAATTTTTAGTTTTAGTATCAAGACTTCCCATCCCTTAGGGCCCCTGTGCTGAGTTAGGTAAACAGCCATCTCTTGATTGGGGACACCTGTCCCATTTTCCCAGGACTGTTCCAATTTCCGATTTCACTGTAGAAGTGAAAAGAAAATCTGCTTTTGGAAAATGAAACTTAATCCAGCAACTTCTGCGTGATTCTGACCGTGGACTGACTTCAAATCCTTTATTGATCCCAAGGAGGTCAGAAGCCAGCCCGACCTCCCTTCCCTGACACTTTCGGTTTTTAACCTAAGGCTCTCCAAACTGAGGAAAGCAAAGAGGGATTACAGCCCACAGGGCTTTAGGACTGGATATGTACTGAGAAATGCATAGTTAAGTGAGGTGTGAACACCACAGAGTGTAGTTACACAAACCTAGATGCTGTAGCCTATTACACACCAAGGCTATATGGTATATATATGCCTAGGAGCAGAATGAACAAAACAAGATTAAATCAAGCACGGGAGAAAATGATGCAGCTGGAGACATGGTAAATATGAGATATCCAAGGCTGCTGCCAGCATAATACAGCAACCTATTTTATAGTAAACTTGTTTTATAAGTAGGAGTACATTCTCAAGTAATGATTAAAAGTTCAGTATAGTAATACATAAACAGTAACATTTTTTATTATCAAGTATTATGTACTCTACATAATTGTATTGCAATACTTTTGAAAGACTGGCCGCACAGTAGGTTTGTTTACACTACCATCACCACAAACACATAATGGGTTGTGCTATGATGTTATGATGGCAATGAGGTCACTAGGCAACAGAAATTTCTCAGCTCCATTATAATCTTATGGGACCACCCTCAGAATGTAGTTATGCATGCATGACAGTACTTGCCAGTAGAACCACAGAATAAAACTCCAAACTCAATTTCCAGGAGGGATAATGAGAACTACTAAGAAACTTCTCACAGATGGGGCACGTCACCAAAGTCCAGGCAAACAGCATCTCCCTTCAATATTACACATTAATAACTTTTATTTAGGACTGGTTATATACTGAGAAATGCATAGTTAAGTGAGGTGTGAACACCACAGAGTATAGTTACACAAACCTAGATGATGTAGCCTACTACACACCTAGGCTACGTAATGTCAATAGTGGGATTCAGAGCCTAAGTCAAATAAGGTCCCAATAGACACTTTTCCATGTCTCTCAGTCACCATCTTGTCTTTTATTTCTCCTTCCCATCCTCTCACTCTGTTTCCATCCCCTCCTTTCTCTCCTATTTTGCCCTTGCCCCTTGCCTAAGGAACAACCTCCAGAGCTCACAAAAATATTTCTCTACAGAGACAGCAAAGGTAAAGAGAAAGGAGAATGAAGTTTGACATTTCACATGGCTCTGCAGCATGACTTTTCCTACAAGGTTGTAAGCTCCATGAGGGCAAAGAACATGTTACTCTTGGCACAGAACTCAGGGCCTCGCACAAGCTAGGCAAGAGCTCTACAGCTGAGCCCCAGCCCCACCTCTACCCCGGGCTTGCCTTCTTTTCCCAGTCTCCTCAATGATGTTCACCTAGTATTGGTTCACCTAGTTGGTCTCATGGGGACCAACTTCCTGAGAAAGAACACAAACTTTTAATAGAGAGTTGGGGAAGTTAGACCCAGAAGAATGGATCCCCAGAGCCCAAAAAAGAAAGTGGAAATGTCAAAAACAAGTCCAGTCTGACTTGATTATATTCATTGCCCCCTTATCAGAAACCAAGTAAATAGAAACTCTTAATCCTGGAAATTGCAATTAAAAAAAAAAAAAAACATGGGGCTGGGGTTGTGGCTCAGTGCTAGAGTGCTCGCCTGGCATGTGCGAGGCCCTGGGTTCGATCCTCAGGACCACATATAAATAAAGGTATTGTGTGCAACTACAACTAAAAAATAAATAAATATTTTTTAAATATTAAAAAAAAAATCAAAACCCTGCATTCCCCTAGGAAAGGTTAAGCCTTAACCTTGTGCACTTCCCATTTTTGTTTTAGGGCCATTGTTTCAACTGCCCTCCAGGGTAACTGGTGGTTCTCTCCAGCTTGCCATGTTTTTCAGAAGGAACAAATGATAACTGGGTCTCTTTCTGTGCTCCACCTTCAACTCTGTTGCCAATAAATTATTACTTGACAGTCAAAGGTTGTCTCTTCCCCAACAATTTCAACTCCAAAAATCTCTGCCAGGTATTTTAGATTACTAAGGTTTAGGTACTACTAGGGTTTGGGTGTTAAAAGTCCATGTGGTAAAGGATCTGTTGTCCCTAGAGTGACACTTTGGGGAGATGGTAGAAACTTTTAAGAGACGGGGCCTAGTGAGAAGTCTCCAGGCCACTGGGGACATGCTCTTGAAGGGAGCTGTGGGACCCTCTTTTTCACTACCACCTTGAGGTGAATGGTTTGGCTCCCCCACATGATTCTGAAATGATGTGCCACCTCCCCACAGGGCCAGAGCACTGGGATCACTTGACCAAAGACTGAAACCTCAAATAAACCTTTTCTAAGTCGATTATGTCAGGTACCTGTGGTTTGGTTTTGTTGGGTTTTTTTTTTGGTTGTTTTGGTTTGATTTTGCATTTTTGGTGCTGAGAATTGGACCCAGTGTCTCTCACATCTCATGTGCTAAGCACGTGCCCTACCTCTGAGCTACACCCCCAGCCCTTCAGGGATTTGCTTTAGTGACAGAAAGCTGACTAACCCAGGTTCAAAGTCTTTATATTTCCTTAAAGCCCTTAAACTCTTTTTTAAAGAGCTGAAAGAAGAGGCACTTTTAATAACCCATCATTAAAGAGTTACTAATTTTATGCCCATAAAACTCTTCTCTAATCAACCCTTCTACCAATACATCATGTTTACATGGCCCAGGTTCAGTATTGGGCAAATGGTGTGCTAGAAATAAATACTATGTAAAGAAAATGCACAGATTAAATTTGAAATCTCTAAATTACCACTCACAGTCTATCATCCATAAAGTGATAATCCAAGAAGGCAAGGCTGAGTGGCGGAAAGAACTAGAAGTCCAGAAATGAGCTTGAGGCCCAGTTCTGCCATTATTTTTGTGTATAAGGAATCCTGTGTATCTGAGTGTATATAATTCAGTTTGTAAAATGTGGGATAGTAGGTGGACTAGATGATCTTTAGGACTCCCAAATCAGTGGGTTGTTGTTTTTTTTGTTTTTGTTTTTCATATGATACAAAGCTGATCCAGAACATTATTCCTTTGTCTCTGAAAATGTAAGAATTCATTTACCCAAAATGATACTAATTGAAATTGCTTATTGTGCTGGGTATGTAGCTGAGTTTTGGAGCACTAACATGTGTGAGGCCCTGGGTTCCATTCCCACCACCACACAAACACACAAAAAAAGTAAAATTTATATTTTGTAAAATAATGTATATTTTTAAAAAATAATTAAACATGTATATTTTCATATATATGTATATATAAAAATTAGGCATGACTTACACCTAACATGAATAAGTTGTTTAAATTTCAACAAGGAATATTGCAATAAAAAACACTTCCTTATTTGCAAGGAAAAACACTTCCTCATGAAATGTTGAGTGTCTCTCTCCATTACGTGGACTATTTGAAAACACTTTGAGATGAAGGCGTCTTCTTCTCATAAATGCTACGAAACTGTTGGCATTGTAAATTATCTACTTAGTCCTTGGAAATAGGAGAGAGTTTCTGGAGTATGTTTCCTGTATGTAGATGATTGACAGGAGTTGTTGACAGTGTGCACTAGGAAGGGCATAAC